TACAACAAGGGTTATAGATGCCGAGTTCCCACACTGGAGCACTCTGCCACACTGTCGTCGGTGTGGATAACATGGGACAAAGGCCGACAAGGGAGACTGCACAGCTGATGGTACAGCACGTGGCGGATGAATGGCTGTGGGGCTTCTTGTGCATTGCAGCTTTGTGTACACATCCCTGCACATCTGTGCAGGCCTCTTGTGGAAGCCAATTAGGTCGCCACTACTTATTTTCAGGCACTAAGAAATGTTTATGGACCATAGCATGCTTATGGTTCTCATCACTGATGCTTTTCACCAACATCCACACATCAATTTACAAAACACAACCCTTCCACATATATTTTTAAAAGATTATTTTCATCTTCAATAAAACAAAAAAATTCCTATAATCAGTCAGCTTATCCACATATCCAAGGCTTCTTAGGGCCTGTCCTGGGTTTGAAGTTCTCTCTTCACAGCTGGAAAATGAAGGAATCAAACAAGAAATCAATCATTTCTCAGGTCCTTCCACCTTAAAAATCCAGTTTCTAACGCAAGTAGAGTCTGCAAAAGGGAAATCTTGTCATATAAGGCCTAAATTCTCAACCTGATTCTCTCCAGCAAGAGAGAGCAATTCTCCAGAATTATATTAATAGGAAGAAAGAAGGAAGGTAGTGTTTTTGGTCAGCCCACATAACACAACCAATAATGATAACAACATAGCTATTGACTTTCAGAAAGTAACATAACACTATTGTCATTCATGATTACTTTAACGACAGTATTAAAGAGAATCACTTGTATCATTATTTAGAATCCTAAGTTTAATTCCCTAAATTTTTGTATTATTTAGCAATAAGCTAAATTTAGTTGATTTTGATACAGACTTTTTTCTTACATTAAATATTCTTAGGGTCCAGAATTCCGTAAGTTTCCTTCATGGTAGACCCTCTTCAGAGGACTAAAATTAAACATGACATAGCAATGTATTAGGAAAATGGAAATGTCTTATCATTGCTTTGCACAAATGTTTTACTCTAATTATCAAACCCTAAAAGCAGAAATCAACGAATCATAGAACACAGCATTAAAAGAACAATTCATGTGCTCTCCCACGGAATTATATTGTATGTAGGGTTAAATTTTGTATATATGTTGTCTCTATGTTTAGAGGACTTTTGTTTAGTTGTTTCCAGTTTAGCTAAAGCAATATAAGTACTATTAAATGTATTTCTTTCCTTAAATAAGAGCTGACCGCTCTCATTCAAACTGGCTGTTCATTTCCAAATTTGAATGCCTTACAAAGAAGAAAAACTGTATAGGTTGGACAAAATTTCTTATTTTGCTGCTTTGAGACTGGGGACTGGCAATAACTGAGGACTTTCGCTTCCTTCCCTAAAAGACCATTTTAGCTGAGACTATCTGTGATCACCAGGGAAAACAACTATTGAGCTCTACTCAGTGCAATGAAAGTAGAATGGCTAGTTGGTAGAAATATTTCACTTTATATGAAAGATTGGTAATCAATCTTCCAAAGTCAAAAGTGATTGCTGACATTTTTTTTAACTGAAAATAACTTGAAATAAACAAATAAATGAATGAATCCTTTGTACGAACTTATAATAACTTATACATACATTTTTCCCTCTGTACCTCCCCTACTCTCCCTTCCCCTCCGCTTCCCCCTCCCTCCATCCTGCTCCTTTTTTCTTTATTTTTTTCATTTTTTTCATATGCCTGTTGGCCATTTGCATTTCCTCTTCAGAGAAGTTTCTTTTTAGCTCTCCTACCCATTTTTTTAAAATAAATTTTATTTTTATATTCCCCATACAATTGCAACCCCTTATTTTGACCCCAATCCCTCCCCTCCCGCCCCCCCCCCCCAAAAAGTGTCTCTGGTTCATAGTTTTTTGTTGATTTTGATTTTCACTTTCTTATAGTTATTCATTTTCCTGGTCCCTTATTTAAGTTTTCTAGATTCCTGCTATGAGTGAGACCATCCGGTATTTTTCTTTTTCTTTCTGGCTTATTTCGCTGAGCATGATCCCTTCCAGCGCCATCCATGTTGCTGCAAATTGCATGTGTTTATCTTTTTTGAATGCTGAGTAATATTCCATGGTGTATATGTACCACATCTTCTTGATCCAGTCATCTATTTTTGGGCATTTGGGTTGTTTCCAAAGCTTAGCTATTGTAAATAGTGCTGCTATAAACATAGGGGTGCAGGTGTTCTTTGGAATTGATGTTTCTGTGTCCTTTGGGTAAATACCTAGGAGTGGAATTGCTGGATCATATGGAAGCTCTATGTTTAGTAGGTCCAGAAATCTCCACACAGCTCTCCATAGTGGTTGGACCAGTTTGCACTCCCACCAACAGTGCAGAAGAGTTCCTTTTTCTCCACATCCTCGCCAACATTTGTTGTTGCTAGTTTTTTTAATATGTGCCATTCTCACTGCTGTGAGATGGTATCTCATGGTAGTTTTGATTTGCATTTCCCTGATTGTAAGTGATGTTGAACATTTTTTCATATCCTGCTCCTTTTTTCTGACAGCCTCCTCCTCCCTTTTTCTCCCAGCTTTCTCTCTTCTCTTACCACGCTCCCCCCAGAAATACAGCTTGCTTTTAAAATAACTTCATTTGCAGCAAATACACTGAACACTTACTTTCAAATTATCATTATACCAGAGAGTACTGGGACTCATTGGTCAGGCAAGTTTTGCTTCCTCAAGGGTCCTGCTGTTGCTTGCCGCTAGACTGGGAAACACGCAGCTAGTTTACCAAAACACAGAAATTTCTTTGAAGGCCAGCTTATTTCTTACCTGTTTTTACTGCCATCCAACAAGGTAGTTTCAAACTAAGTGAATGTTAGCTGAGCTCACATCTGCCCTGCATTCTATTACCCAGCACTCCAGATGGCAGCCACATAGCCTGGAATGCTTTGACTCACCTCTCATGACAAAAGTGGGCAGCAATAAAGGTAACAGTAAGTGTGCTTTATGACTTGATCACATCACTTAAAAAATATAAAAGGTTGACTATATACAGTGTTTCCTCTCCACACAGGACTCTGAATTCTGCTTCTGCACTATAGCATCCTTCATTATGTTATCTGTTTCATGTTTGTTTTAGAATTTTCTAGACTCTTTACATGACAAAGATTTGGCATATAGAATTTTTGAACTGGATGGTTTAATTTCAGTGCATCTTGTGGATGGAGGTATAAAAATTCTACTTTCTCCTTTAAAGTTACATGTGTATGCGCTCCTGAAATAATGGCATGCTGCATCGCTTTATGACCCACGTGTGGGTAAGTACCTCCCGGCAAGACACAACATGCACCCGCTTAGCAAAACATCTGCTGACCCCTGGAACTCACCAAGTAGATTGAGCATCAAATCTAAAAGAGAAGACAGGGGTTTTAATTTGTAGCACTTTGTAGGTTAATATTTTATTTTTCCCTTATGGATCTCCTATTTAATATTTATATTTTATGTGCGTTTTGCTCCTTTTAACCTGAGGCGGCAGGCCTTTACTCAGGCCTTTACTTTATCTCAGACCTTTTACTCAGTATTTCTCTAACAAGCCAACCAGGTACAAACAGGATTTTTATATCCATTTGTAAATTTTAGTTGGGTGCAGTTGAGAGAAGGAAAAATAAAAAGACAAATACTACATTTGTGTAAGGTTTGATTTACCTCACTTGTACAATACTGCGCTGTTGGCATGTGTCTCAGTAAATAGTCTTCAAAAAGAAATTATTGCAGTGTAAAAATAGTTTCCCTGAATACACATATTTTTACTGTTCCCTGGTCTCAAAATGGCTTTAAAATTATTTTTTTCTGACTTAGAGCTCTGTGCCCCATATTGTGGTAGGACATGGTTCTCTGCTCTGTTCCCTGGAGTGGACTTGGAGAGAAGGGAAGTTGAGACAGTAATAACCATTCTGTCTGAAAGGGGCCTAACTTGAGTCACTTTTGTTACCAGAAGAGGAAAATGGAAATTAAAGGATCAAAATATGTTGGAGAGTTCATTCTTTAGAAGCAAGCCCACAAATTAAAACTAGCTAAATAGATTAAATCTACCCATATAACAAATCATGTTTCATGACCACCACACCACATACCATTCATTGTAGGCACTAGAGATCCAGCATGGAACAAAGTCAGTGCTCCCATGCAACTAGTGTGTGGAGGTTATAATTTCCAAAGTACATTTATTGCCTTGATATTCTCCAAAATATACCCATTTTCCAGACTAGATGTGTCTGAAACATTTTGGTATTTACATAGATGCAGATAAATTTTCTATATAGTGTAACCAAAAGGGGCCTAAAAAAAAAATCTATGAGCCACTATTACAGATCAAAGCCTTTTTCTCTGGGAATATGTTGTACAATAATTTCTTAGGTGTATATAAAATTACAAACATATCAACTGAGAGCCTCCCAAAGTACATGATTAACCCACTTCACCTGCTAGAAAACTTGGAATCTGCAACATTAATGCAAAAAGAAAATACAACTAGAAATAAACTAAAGCTCAACGATCTTAAAGTGGGAGAATCTTTTCCTCAAGGGGTCCTGCCCAAGGAGATACTTCCCAACTTCTTTTCCATGGAGTGGCCCCTCTCTAGGCATCAGCTTCTTACTACCCTCTTCTGGCTGAGTCTGAATTCAGTCTCACTGTTATATATATATATATATATTTTTTTTTTTTTTTATAGAGGCATGTTTTTTATTTTTATTTATTTATTTGTTTGTTTGTACAAGCACTGGGTACAGTCAGAAGCGCGGGAGGGTGAGAGAATTCACCAGAGCCAGAGCGGAGAGCAGAGCAGGCAGAAGGACCGAAGTACACTGCTGAGGGGAGCAGCGGGCGGCAGGAGAGGTCTGCACGCCATGTGGGACCCTCCTCTGGTGGCCGGGGAGCAGCCGGGGATCGAACCGGCGCCGCAGAAGATGCGGGCAGCTTCGCAACCCAGCGCTCAACCGCTGCGCCACCTGGGAGGCCCTCACTGTTATATTTTTTAAGTCCAATTGTACTATACAGTCACGAAATATAAATTTTAAATACGATGCCAAAATTCACATATTGTACTATCACTTCATGTTCAGTTAAAAATGTTTCTTTCTACAAAAGCAGTACATGTTGACTAAAAACCAAAAAATAAGCAAAAGACCAATATCCACCTTTTTAGAAACCATTAAAAACCTGCTACATATCCTTCCGATCTTTCTCCTCTACCTACATGCGCTCAATTTTATTATTACCTATTTTTAAAAAAAATGTGGTCCTATTGTACGTTTTCAATACTGCTTACAAAATTTATATTAATATCCTTCTGTACTGTCCATTTATATGGCAACATAATATACAACAATGTAAATACACATTTTACCTAATCATTCTCCTTCAACTGACAAAAGTATTACTAATAGGTCTGATGAGTATGTATTATAACCATTCTTTTATTTGCAATTGATTGATAAATGTGTTCTCTTAACTAAAGGTATTCTGGGTTGGCAAGGCCACAGGTGACAGCTGGGGTATTCAACCTTTCACAACTGTTTAGTTCTTATCAAAAAGGGAAATGAAGACAGTTTCTACCTACAGAAGCACATCTCTTTTCCAGCACATTCCCTTTTCAAAGTCCAACTTTATGTACACTCACCTAAAAATATTTTAAAAATCCAAACATCCTAAGAGCTAGACTAGTCCTCAGTTGAGCCTAGTAAGTTGTTTACACAGTTCTTGAGAATGCATAGCACCTATGCCTATATTACGGTTCCACTACAATGCAACTAAAAACACTAGAACACAGCTTTTTTTCCTATGGATGTCCTGATTTAAAGCATTTCAAATGGCTTAAATATATACTGAATAGAAACTCGAATAAACGGACCTGACGAAAATTAAACTGCAAGAGTTACTAGAACCAAAAAAATAAAGACTCATCTGGGTTATAGGCAACGGGGATGCATGTTTTACTGACCCTGGGAACAAGAGAACTACCAGGGATTGGCCTAGTTCTACTTGGAGTGAAAAAGATACCCTGTTCATTCTCCCCAACAAAAAGAAGGCATTGCTTTTGCCCTGACACTCCAATGATTGAGGATCCCCCGGAATCCCTAAACAATCAAATCTATAAAGCTAGTTTTGCTTAAATTGGTTTGCAAGAAATAATTGCAAGACAAAGTTATTTCTGGCAGCAGAATGTAGAGATGGGCACAATCACATTTAATCACATCCCTGGTTGGCTGACAAACCAAAGTTACCATGACACTAGTTGTGAGGCTGTTGCAAACAGTAGCATGAGGCACCTCTGATGGTTTTAAGTAGATGGCCAAGGAAAGTCTCCAGCTTGGTAAACTGGTAAAAACACAGGAAAATGAATGTAAATTTTGTACAGAGCATGTATACCAATGTCCAATTGTTTCCCTTCCTTCTAACAAACTTTTAAAGGAATACTTTGAGGTATACAAAACTTGCAAAGTGGACACTCAAGAGAGTGCTGTAGTACATCGCACTATAACAGAGATGGCCCAAGTCAAATCAAAAGCACTAAGATTTTGAAACTTGTAAACTCAAATCTTTCAAAAGCTTCAAATGTGACTTCCAGGAAAAGGTGTTGAATACAGATAACACAGGTTGAAAAGCAGAGGGGGCAGGACAAAGGACTGGGTGTACTACAAAAGCTCAAATGTGGACAAAACATTCTTTAAAAAGGACAACAAGAGGTCTAGCGCAGTCTAGGACAAATGTGGAGGAACTTACAAATTTGACCATTACGAAGTCTCCTATCATTTTAGTTCACAGATGGCCTCTGGCACCTCTTTTGAGAATGGACAGTCAATTCCCCAACAAAAACCCTTTCAAGGTATTTTGACAATTGGATTTCCAACTACTCTAATGTGCCAGATGCAGAACACCCAATATAGATACAAGGAAACTAAAATTTATATGCTGATCCCCAAGAAAAATCACTTGATACCATCATCTAGGTTACACTGTATGCTCTATAAATTTAGCTTGAGGCTCTGTACTCCACAGGTAGGCATGTGAAAAGAACCAGCCTTCAGGTATATTAGCAGTAAATATTTTGTAAGGCAGATTTTAATCAGAACCAATAGAATTAGACTTAGTGTTAACATAGTATATTCACTTGATTTTCAATACACACCTCAACTTTTGTTACAATAGTTGTAAAAAAATTGGAAGGGATAATTAAAATACTGAAATCTAATAGGGGTGTATCTTGATAACAGCTCTTGGCATGCAGAAACAGTAACCATCAAACTGTGCATTCAAAACCAGATCTTAAATTCAGCTTCAAAGCAGGTCCCCCCATAATCTACAGCAGGGTTACTAGGGAGACACTGAAAATACCAGTGATTGATCAAGAATTCAAGGAAAACTTCCTGCCTCAATATTTCACTCATTTCAACATACCTAACTGGATTCCAAGGTTGCTTTACACATCATTACTTGTTCCTACACTTATAGATTTGGGTACATGGAAATTAAGCACATCTTTGCTTTTGCACCTAACTCTTGTTAATGGACACAATGATCTTTCCTAAGATTTGTCCATAAGCACTGATGGTCATCATGTGCCCAAGAGTGGACAAAATGTTCTTTGCTAATATACCTGAAGGCTGGTTCTCCTCACATGCCTACCCATGGAGTACAGAGCCTCAAGCTAAATTTATAGAGCATACAGTGTAACCTAGATGATGGTTATCATATGTGCCATATAATACACACAACCTTGCCCCCTGTAATGTTTTTGCCTTAACCCACTCAATAAGTACAGGGTTAACAGCCTTGACTAGTGTCCACTCATCGCTTAATGTCTACACACCCAAGAACTGTCACCAGTACACTATTGTAGCCCTATCATTTGGCTACACTGTTGTTTTAACTGACTATACTGAAGCTACTCATTTGTAGACTAGACTTTCATGTAGAAAACGAAGATGTTATTTTGCTGGTACTTATTTTACAATCACTGTTCCCTGCAATCACTTTCATTGTCCAAATAAAAAAACAGAGATGATTAGCCAAATTTTTTTATTTGCTCATTTCTTGCATTTGAAGTACTCCTCGATGACATCCTTGGCCTGAGACTCTTTGCCATAGTCCTTAAAATAAAACACATATGCAAGACTTTAGTCATTATAAACTCCAAATTGTTAGCAAAGGTTTTAAAGTACTACAGCTTGTCTTAGAAGGCTTCCCCATCATTAAAATGTCTTGTAGCCACTTTCAGGGACCTTAATGACTACAGTGTCTTTAAGGCTCGTAACATGGCTGTGCTATTGCCAGTTTTTTCTAAATTTCTGCAAACACATCCAGGTAAGCAGATTCACCGACTGGCTTAATTATAGCCCATTTCCCTTTTCTAGAAGTCATAAACTTTTAAAAGGTTCTTATTTAACAACTCAGACTCTAATATAGGGCCATATACATGGTTACCCAGCATAACCCACTTCCCACAGACTTACCTTAACTACCACACAACTGCAGCCAACCACTTTACGGGGCTTCCCCTCTCTGTCAATTTTACAGAGGCCTACCCATTCGCCCAGTTTTTTGTTGTCATCAACCTACGGGAGAGGAATAAAGCAGACAAAAATTACATTACTACATACTAACATGAGTGACACCAAATTAACTCCAAAAGGTAGCCGTAGTCAGATAGGGTGACACTGGCAGTTTCCTCACAACAATTCAGTAGAGGGAGCCAGTTGTCATCATGTACAGCACCAAGATCACCTGTCTAAGCACTCTGCCTTGGTTCTGTTCTATACCAAGGTGAAAATTAACTGGGTCAATCTTCAACTCACTAAATTATCTCAAATTCATATAAATCAAGTCAAATGAATAACATACCTTAATTAAGTTGATTTGGTGTTCAGCACAAAGGGCCTCCACCAACTTGACGTACATGGGTTCATCACAGTTGGATGCAAGCACACAAAGATGGGCTTGGCGCCTGAAAAACAAAATCAAACACATTACAATTGAGAGCTAAACCCACTACTCTATTTCCAAGAGTTATCTTTGCTCTGGCTACACTGGCAAAACCAAGCACTGCACCGAATGGAGAACCCAAGAGCCTGTTTGACTACCTAGTGTATGAAACACATAATTCATTTAATTCACTCACAGAGCCATCTAATTTTTGGCCAAATAAAAACATCAAGTTTGTATCAGAAAACTAGTTTACCAATTTGTGATCTAAAATATAAACATTTTTGCAAGCCATTCCTACACTCCAAATATATGAGGGACACATTACACTGATTACAACTGCTACATGTTTCATACTGTGCAGTACTATCAATGCCAATGTACGACAGTAATGGGGGGGGGTTCACCTAAGACCTGCTAAAGAACCTCCAACAAATAGTACTGTTTCCACTATCTCCACCTGATCAGTCTACACTAAGCTATAGCTGACTTACAAATATATGGCTTTAAAAAAACCCTTAAGCACATTTAAATACAGCTCAAACAATTTACACTCAGTTGTTTTGCCAATGTAACCAGTACCACTACCAAACTGGATAAATAGTAACCCACTTTCACACAGCACTCTACAACTACTTTACCTACAAAAATTGTTTAAAATCCCAGCTTACACAACATCAGAATAAAATTCCTGAAGCGACCCAGTTTTAATTCACAAATACTAAACAAAAAGATCTTTGTCCTGGGTGAGACATCCGGCCCACAACCACAGGTTTGTCAGACTGTAAAATTTCACTCATCGGCGGAGTGAAGGGGTATCCGACAATACAAAGTCATCACTCAAACACTGTGGCTTTCATCGGAGTTAAGAACCAAGTGCTTATCCCCACTCCACACAAAACCAAAATCTGTGGGTTCCATAGATCTGAGTTCTGGTACCTTTTCCTAGGCTTCCTGTAGAACGGCTGCCATTCAGAACTTTTGGACTAACACCATGAACTTCACGCTTTCTTCCCTCGGCTGCAGTTTTGTTCCGGTTGCAACAACCCACAGTATTGAGACCGAGACACGTACTTGTCTAAGGCTTTGGCAGCTTCGCGAATTCCACGTGCTAGGCCATCGTGAATGAGGGCGGTCTTCAGCACCTCTTGCAAAGCAGTATTAACGTCCATTACACCTCCAGCAGCAATGCTAAAACCAGGAGGCAAGAAACCATCAATAAAGTCCCCGCGAACCATCCAACCCCGTGCCTCGGGCTCGGCGGCCACGTCTGATAGGTCAGATCGGCGCCAAGGCCCGGCTGACCCGGAGCGCGCGCGAGGGGCTCGCGGCCCGCGCGTTACCCGCGGCACAACCCCGGCCCCGAGCTGCTCACCCTTCCTCGGCCATGGCGGTGGGTTACGGGTGGAGCCGAATCTTGAATGCACTGCAATTCAAAGCAGAAAACGCCTGGTTAATCGAAAGATTCGAACTAAGCCCACACGCTCTGCCAACTCCAACCAGAAGACACCGCAGCAGGGACAGAAACCCCGATCCCCCCAATTCAACTCACCCCGAGCCTCCGCCTCCGCGCGACTCGGCGGCGGCAGGGAAAGAGGCCGCACGCGCCCGCATGATGGTATTTAAGGGCTTCCCAGGACCCCTCTGCGCATGTGCGGGCCTCCCCTGAAAGAGGTGGCTCTGGCAGTGCCGGGCCCGAGAGTCTCTATTTCCGGGTTGAAGGGGGCTTGAGACTAGGGCGCTGCGAGGCATCTGATCCGGCCGCTGGTGGTGAGAACGCGCAACAGGCAGCAGCGCGGGCAGCCTTGCATCGGCGCCGCTTGCCGGGGGCGTGGCCTGCGGAGGCCCAGAGGACCTTTCTACGGAGCGGGGCAAGGGCCAGGCGCGAAAGTCCACATGGTTCCGTAGAGCTGCAGCGGCGGTGGCTGCCCTGAACGCCAGTTTTAACCCTTGGCAAATAATGTTGTAGTTTCTTGTGGACCACACGAAACGACCCTTCCTGAGCCATGCTCGCTCACCCTTCTCGAAGTCTCTATCAATACCTATTAATGTGTCGTTGCGTGGGTGAACCGCGAGGTAACGTGTCAACACGTTTTTACCCCTGGAGCACTTTGCAAATGCCACATCCCCAGCGCTGTGTGGGGTAGGTGGGCCCTCCAGGCAGGTGGTTGGTTCCAGATTCTAAATGCAGTTGGTTTTAAATGAAGTGTTTTTTTTTTCAACCCCACATTGTTTCCTAAACTCGTACTCACGCGCAATTTGAGGTTCAGTGGGTGTATTTTAAACACCTGCTGTGTGCCTGACAGACAGGATCTGGGGCTATAGAGATGAAAACGCAGGTGTTATTTCTCCATCCAAGCGGAGTTAGTGGAGTCAGAGCCCTAAGCCTGGCTTCCGGGAAGCAAAATTTTGATATTTGCATTTATTGTCCATTTTCCCACACACACCTCCCCCCCAACGCAGATACTTGAGGTCCAGACGAAAATAATCAGAACACTCATTTTCCTTTTGTTTTAACTTCCTCTCCTGACAAGTCGCCAAGCCAGTCAGCAATTATTACACGCTAATGGAAGTGAGCACTGTGGATACGGAGAACAGGAGCAGATAGTGTCAGATTCCGGTGCTGTGAAGAAAACAAAAATGGGTAACAGGATAGATACTGGAATTTTAAGAAATTTGTATAGCTCATTTTAGCTTTTCAAATGCTTCCAAATTTTCACTTTAAAAATATTGAACCTGCTTCCATCCATTAGTTATCCAAAAGAGTTGTCCACTTGGTTTGTTGTTCATTTAATTAATTTTGAGCTTTCAATTTATTGAAAAAAAAAACAAAACTAGTTTATAAAGGAGAGATTTATTTCTGCTGCTTTGATGTTTGTGGTAGGATTCAATTTTGAGTCAAAGATTAGAAAACCTAAAGGCCACTGGGAGGGTACAAAATGGCAAGAGAATTAGAGTGAGAATAATATGGGAAGGTAAGATAAAGGTTTTCATGCTGGTGACAGTGTTTAAAAGGGCTTTTTAAAAATTCCAAACTGAAAAGATGCGAAGAAAAAAGGTATACTAAATGGAGGAAAGAGTAAAGTCTCAGCATGGATGCCTCCTTGTTTATTTTGGAAGTTACCTTTTTAAAATAAAACGTGGTAAATAGCGTTTCAGCAAATTTCTCTTGAAAGTCAATATACTAAGCAAATGAGATTCTAGTCCCCTTTCTCCCTATCCTCAACCCCTAAAAGAAATCTTAGGGATGAGTCAAGGAATTGGGTAAAGTTTAGGGAAAGTAACTATAGCCAAATTATAGATTTATGTAGGGGAAACATGACTAAGTAGATTTTAGCTTATGCTGTTGTTCCCAGTCTAGTACCAACCAACTCTGACTTGGTTTCTGTTTTCTGGTAGCTCATCATCTTTTCTGTAAATTCAAATATCATGGGCCTATGCCTTAACATTCCATGTTGCTAAGTGCCTGTCCTATCATTTCCAAACCCCCTCCTTTAAACTAGAATTACATTTTTTTTTTCTGAAGTCCTTGTTATATAACAGGTAATGCTAGAAAGTTAAAGGACACATTGTTGGTTCAAGGATTCATTAATGCACATTCTCCTAGTCCACACATGTAAAGTTAACTCCTCTCAATTTTAGGTTTTGCCAAAGGTGGAAGACAAAACAAATAGAGGTTGAAGGCTATATATACTTGCAAATTATAATACTAACATAATATATACAAATATGCATCTGAAATACATATGAAGAACAAATTCTAGCATTTTCTATATGTCAGTTAATGCAAAATTATCATATTTTTCTCCTTTGATTATCATTGAGACCCTATGTGGTAGTGTTATTAGCCTCGTTTAATAGAAGAGGAACCCAGACTTGCTCAAAAAGTTGCTCAAAAAATCACACAGCTAATAAATGTGGAACCTGGTATTTAAACCCAGTCGACTTCAAAAATGCTCTAACCCTTCCACCGTTTGGATGATTGTCCAAATGTGGAAATAAGATCACTGAGAATTCATAGGTAACTCTTTTTGCATATCACCTTTGGCAATGATATGATTGGTTTTGTCTCACTGTGTTAAAACAATCACATAGACCAAGAAGGAGAATACAGCAGTGTTAGGCACAGAAAAGGAAAGTAGAAATTTGAATTTCTGAATCATCTAAATGTAGATGTTGTATTAGCTTGTTAGAACTACCATAACAATGTATCACATCTGGATGGGAAAAACAACAGGAAGATATTGTCCTAGTTCTGCAGGCAGGTAGTCTTCCCATCAAGGTGTCTGCAGGTCCTAAGGCCATGAGGGAGCATCTGTTGCTGCCTTCTCCCAACCTCTGGAAGTTTGCCAGCATGCTTGATGTTCCTCAACTTGTGGCAGCACAGCTTTGTCTTCCCATGACATCCTGTATGTGTCTGTTTATGCATCCAAATTTATCTTTTACATAAGGATACCAGCTGTATTGGATGAGGAGCCCACCCTACTCCAGTATGACCTCATTTTAGCTAATTACAGTTATAACAATCCTATTTCCAAATCAAGTCTTGTTATGAGAGGCGGGCAATCCAGACTCCAACATATATGGGGAGAAACACAGTTTAACCCATCAGAGGTATCAAAGAAGATGAAATGATAGAAAAGATCTTTGAATTGAACTATAAAAATCTTAGAAGACCAGAGTTAGGAAGAGACCTAGGCCAGGCACAGAAAAGAATTTATATATCAGAATAGTGAAGCCCAACTGAGCTGAGTTAATTGCTAGCTCGTTTTGCAAATTATTTACTTTTCTGAGGCAGCAAAATAGTGATAAGACTAAAATATTGCGCTGAGGATTAAATAAGATGGTATTTGAAAATGTTTACCACTGTGTCTGAAATATTTGCCTTATAAAGAACTTCATATGGAAATGACCTTAAATATCTCCTTTCCCCTGTCCTAGAAACCACCCAGTACTTAATGCACTGACTTTCATCTTGAAGACGTGTTCTGAATGGACTTAGAATGAAATCAATTAAAAGAAGCCTGTAGGTAGATGGCACACCTGGGAGGAAGCTATGTTGAGAAAATCATAGCTGAAGAAAGCTTTGGGTGAAAAAAAGAGAATTGTATTATATGAAGGGAATTAAATGAGAAAGAGTTGGTAAGAGGGAAGAGAATAAAAAAGAAAAGAAAGTAGTTGAAAAAATGGAGTGAATTAATAAAGGCTAGAGGTAGGCAGTAGCTTTTAAAGTTGGTATAAAGCATTTCATTGGAAAGCTCATTTTATCAGGAAAAAAAAAAAAAGAATGGGACTGGATTATTGTCTCAGTGCTATCAAGTATAGGCAGCCACTGCAGCAGGAGTTAGATCCCCAGCCAGGGAGCTAGCCCACCTAGCTCAGCATACCTCTCTTGTCTCTGCAGCTGCTCAGCAGTGTATTTCAGTAGATCTGCCTGTTCTGCTCCCCACTCTGTCTCTGGTGAACCCTTTCACCCCCTGCACTTCTGGCCTCTACCCAGTTTCTTGTATGCAAATAAATAAAATAAATCTTAAAAAATAAAAAAAAGAATTTAAAGCAGCTCTTAAAGATGTGCTCAATAATGTAAGAAAACATGCTTAAAATGAATGAACAAATAGGAAAAATAAAACCTATAAAAGAGATTCAAATAGAAATTTGAGAACTGAACAATAAATAGGAGAAAAAATTCACTAGAACTAGTAGACAGGCAATGACAAAACAAAGTCAGTAAATATTGTGTTAGATAAAATGTAATTATATTTTAGTTATAATTATATTTTAGTTAATTTTAGTATATAATTAATTAATTTTAGTATATAATTATATTTTAGTTAATAAAAAAAGAAGGTAAGAAAGAAGAAACAAATGAATTTAAAAAACAGATGGGAAGTTATAAAACAAATCATAAAATGATAGACTTAAATCCAATCTTATCCATAAACTTCCTGCTCAAATTAAAAAGTAGAGCTCGGGCCTCCCCGGTGGCGCAGCGGTTGAGCGCTGGGTTGCGAAGCTGCCCGCGGCCTCTGCGGTACCGGTTCAATCCCCGGCTGCTCCCCGGCCACTGGAGGAGGGTCGCACATGGTGCTCAGACCTCTCCTGCTGCCCGCTGCTCCCCTCAGCAGTGTACTTCGGTCCTTCTGCCTGCTCTGCTCCCCGCTCTGGCTCTGGTGAATTCTCTCACCCTCCCGCGCTTCTGATTGTACCCAGTGTTTGTATAAATAAACAAACAAACAAAACAAAAAACAAATAATAAATAAATACATACATGCCTCTTAAAAAATAATAAAAAATAATAAAAAAAATAAAAAGTAGCGATCATCAAATTGGATTTTTAAAAATCAAGTATATCCTATCTACAAAAGATGTATTTTTAATATAAAGGCATAGGTAAAAGTGAAAGTACTGGAAAGAAGATACGTGCAACTAATAAACATAAAAGCTGTAGTGACTAGACAGTGTCAGATAAAGTATAGTGTAAGAGGATTACTAGTGATAGAAGTATTTCACAATGATAAGCAAGTAAATTCATTGGGGAGCCATAATTCTCTGGGATAAAATAGATGAAAACAGAAAAAATTGAGGTCAAAGATTGCAA